AGTTACGCAAGATGGTACAATGGTACATGGAGGTGAATCATTAAGATCTGGTACTTTCATTGTAACACATGGTGGTTTAACAAAAAAATTAGTGTTATCCGAACTAGGTTAATTTTTACTTCAGCAAGTGGCTGCCCAAGATTAAAAATAAAAGTTTATTTTTCATATCCTTCATTAAACCTCCTATTTGTTTTATTCTTTTTATTTATTTTTATGTAAATGTAAATCCTTTTTATTGAGATTATGGCAATGGTTTGATGTAAACTATTAATGATCTTATCACATCTTTTATTCAATATCAACAATAATTAATTTAATTTTTTTAAAAATATTTTTTTTTTTTTTTTTGACAAAAACTCATTATTTTAATAATAAAAAGAATGGACAATATATTTATAGTTAGTTCCATAGAATGATGGATACAATAGAATAGTATATCAAATATTAAACATTTGATTTCTTTTTTAAAATATTTTATAAAAGTCAATTATTATTTTCAAAGGAGTTTAAACAATCCTAATTAAATATAATATAAAAACTATAATATAAATTGATTACTTAATATTTATAAGTTTAATTTTTGAATTTTAAAATAAAAAATTAAATAAATAAAACTATATTTTTTTATATGTATTATTTATTTTATTTTTTTTTTATTAATTTTTTTAATTATTTTTTTTTTTTAATAAATTTTGAGTTATTTTAAAAAATATATTAAAAAATCAAGGGACAAAGATATCATAAAATATTGTATATAGAAATGTTTTATAAACGAGGGAAATGGTTTTTATGATGATAATTATCAACATTCATGTTGTTTTTTATAATAAAAAATAACGAATTTCTTTTATAGTTATTTTTTATAGTTTTTAAAATATTTAATAAAAAAGGAATAAAAATTTGTTTTAATTTTTAGATATAAAAGGAAAACTATTTTTATTTTTTTAATTTTTTTAATTTTTTTTTTTTTTTATTTAATTTTTTTTTTTTTTTTTTTTTTTTGAATTTATAGGATAATATGGTAGATCGAGAGGAATTATTAATAATTAACTGGAGACAAAGAAATAAAACTAATAATTATTAAAAAAAAAAACTATAATTTATTTGAAAAATAAATTTAAAATAATTTTTTAGAAACTAACACCCACACCTAAACACACATAAAAAACTATAATTCATAGTAAACAATAAATTACTTTTTTAGTTTACTATTTAATATATTATAATAATAATTATTTAAATAAAAAAAACAATAAGTTTTATTTTTAATTTTCTTTTTTTTTTTTTTAAAAAAAAAATAATTTCTTAATAACTACACAATAATTCATAACTTTTATTTATTTATTTATTTTATCAACTCTTTTTTCAAATTGACAATCTTAAAATAAATTATCAACATAAAAATTATAATAAAATTAAATAATTTTTTTTTTTAAAAAATGAATACAGTAACACGTAGAGGTTCTTCATCAGGAACCAAATACATATATAACAAAAGTAGAACTGGACCATACCCAGCCAAGTCATCAAGACAACAAAGATCGTTAACATTTAACGAAACATTTAGAGCATTATTCCCAGCAATTTTTGCAGTATTAATTTCTTTAATGGTATTAAGTGCATTTAATCATTTTCATGGAAATAAAATAATAGATTGGATTAATGATAATGCTATCAGTATTCCAGGTTACAAACCATCAAACTCAATAATGAACATTCCAACTGCCAATCAAGTTAAATTATTTGACAATAAACCACAACCATTCGACTTTGATATGTATGAAAAATTGGGTGCTAAAACATCTGGTAGCTATTGGTCCAATAAAGGTCGTGAAATGGAATTAAAGCAACATAAAGATAGAGATCTCCGTAAATTCACTGATAGAAAATACCAATCATTTGGTCCATTAGGTTCAAGTTCATTTTGGGAACGTAAAGGAAGAGAAATGGAGATGGAAGAAAAAAAAGTCTCTTCACAATTTAACTAAATACAATTTTATATAATAACCAATAAATTTAATCTTTAATTAAAACTCTTATTATTTTATTTTATATTTTTAATTTATTTTTATTTTTTTATTATTTTAAAATATTTTTCTTTAATGGATAAACATTTAAAAAATCCAACTGCCTTTAATGTCTTTTTTGCCTTTAGATTTTAGATTTAAACTCTACAAATTAAATTTTGTTGTAACATACGAATACCACCAATAACCATTCCAAATTTAATAAATAAAAATCGATTGATTAATATAGCTGTAGCTTTTAATTTAATAAGAGAAAATTACCTCTTTTACTTACCAAACCATTTTCTTAAAATATCCTGATTGCTCTTTGTCTACTGGACCATTTTAATAGAACATGAACCAATACCTCATTTAAATGATAAAACTATTGTAAAACCTTAATAATAATAATAAATTTTTATTGGTTTTCTTTAAATTAATTGGGAAAAACTGACATTGTGTGTTAGTGTGTTAAAATGATAAAATTTCTTTTTTTTTTCATACCTCTTTGCTATTAAATATTATAAAAATAAATTAAATAAACGATTTAAATATCTATACCATCTAAATAAAATGGTTGGTTATTAAAAATCTAAAACTAAAATTTATAAAAGAGTTAATTTTTTTAATTAAAATTTAAATTAAAAAAAAAATAAAAAAAAAATAAAAAAAACTATAAAATAAAAAATTAATGTTATAATTAAATACATATATAACAATTTGATATAAAAAAATAAAAGATGGTAAATACTATTTAATTGATCTCCGAATATTTACTTTATAAAATTAATAAATTTTTTTTTTTTTTTTTTTAATTTAAATAGTTTAAAAATAGTTTAATTATAAAAATTGCATTGGTTTTAATGGTTTCATTACTTTTAATGGAAAGTAATAATATTGGTGTCCATGCTAATGGAGAATCATGCTTTACCGATTGCCTCCTTCATGAAAACTTTTTAATAAATTGCCGTCCTAAAGATATCGCAACTGGTAAATGTCAAAAAATCCTATCTGATTGCAGAAATCATTGTGAAGAAGAAATGAAAATCTAAAACCTATATTTTAAAACAAACCAAATACTATTAATAAATAAATATATATATTATAAATAATTTAAATCTCATATTCTAAATTTAATGAATCACCATATTCTTTTCTTTTAATTTGGCATAAACACACATTTTTTTTAAATTTAAATTTTTAAATTTAAAAGAACATTTTAAAAAAAAAAAAATATATGACTTAAATGAATTCTAATATTCATAAAAAAAAAAAATAAAAATAAAAAAAAAAGACAACAAAATAATATAGGGAAAAAGAAAAATATATTACTGAAAAAACAAAAAAACTAATATGTTGTAGATTTAGAGCTGGTAAAAAATAAATGAATAAAATTTTTTTAAAAATTTAAAAAAATAAAAAAAATTTTATTTTATTTTTTTATTTTTTTTTTTTTTTTATTTTTACTTTTTTTTTTTTAATTTTTTTTTAAAAATCTCAGCTTTACACTAAGTTTTTTTGTTATATTATAATTCATTCATTCACCCATCAAAAAATAATATAAAAAAACTATATTTATCTTGTAGATTCATATTTTTATAGTTTTATTTTATTTTATAAATTTGTTTGGTTTTTTTTTTATTATTTTTGTTTATTTTATATTTTTATATTTTAATTTAAAATTTTTTTATATTTTTTTTGATTATATTAATATAATCAAACTTTAAAAAAAAACCAAGATGAATACAGTATTAAATAATATAAGTCAAAGTAGATACTTTAATGACTCTTCAACCAATACAAAGATGGAAGAAATCAAGAAATTTTTGGATAGTCCATCTGATGTTCAAAAACTTGAAAGTATGAAAAAACTTATTGCTGTAAGTATTATTATTATTATTATTAAAAAAAACAATAGAAAATATAGGAATCAATTTATAACCAAAGTAATAATTGAATAATAAACTAATGTGAATGTATATAATAATTTTAGATGTTATCAAAAGGTAGAGATGTATCAGAAGCATTCCCACAAGTCGTTAAAAATGTTATTGTTAAAAATTTAGAAATTAAAAAATTAGTATATATGTTTTTAGTACATTATGCTGAAATTCAAACAGATAGTGCATTATTAGCAATCAATACAATTCAAAAATCATTAAGTGACCAAAATCAAGTTATTCGTGCCAGTGCACTTAGAGTTATGTCATCAATTCGTGTTATTGATATTATCGAAGTCATTATTTTAGCAATTGAAAAGTCAGTTAAAGATACATCACCATTTGTTAGAAAAGCCGCTGCTTTTGCTATTGCAAAGGTACATAAATTAGATTGTGATAAAGAAGAAAACTTAATCGAATTATTAGAAGTTTTATTCAACGATAATAGTACAATGGTTTTAGGTGCTGCAATGGTTGCATTCAACGAATTATGTCCACAACGTTTCGATTTAATTCATCCACACTACAGAAAAATTTGTCAATTATTAGCTGATTTCGATGAATGGTCACAAGCTATTTCTTTAGATATTTTAACAAAATATGCCAGAACTCAATTTAAATGCCCAGATTCATCAATTGTAAATAATAACCATTAATCATTAATAATTTATACATTAAATACTAACACTTTTTTTTTTTTTTTATTATTATTTTAGAATGAAAAAAGACCAACTAAAAAGAAATCAAAATCATTTTATTCAGACGATGAAGAAGAAGAAGATAATGAAGATAGTAAAATCTTTAAGAAATATGATTCATTTGATGCAACTGAAGAAATTGACCACGATCATCGTTTATTATTAAAATCAACTTTACCATTATTACAAAGTAGAAACAATGCTGTAGTTATGGGTGTTTCATCATTATATTTCTATTGTGCACCAGTTATTGAAGCTCAAAAAGTTGGTAAATCATTGGTACGTATCCTTAGAAGTGGTCCAGAAGTTCAATACATTACATTAACCAACATCTCAACCATGGTAACCATGAGACCAAATATGTTTGAACCACATCTTTCAGAATTTTTCATCAATGCTGGTGATCCAGAATATAGTATTAAATTAAAATTAGAAATTCTCACTCGTTTAGCCACCGCAGAAAATATTAGTCGTATTCTTAAAGAATTCAAAGAGTATGTTAAAAATGAAGATAAGAAATTTGTTGCTGCAACCATTCAAGCCATTGGCTCATGTGCTTCCTCAATTCCAGATGTCACTGAAAGCTGTATCTATGGTTTAATGTCATTACTCACAAATCAATCACAATTGGTCGTTGCCGAAAGTGTTGTTGTCTTAAAAAGACTTTTACAATTAAACGCCATGGGTGACAATACTAAAGCCACTGGCAAAACTCATCAAATCAAATATAGCAACATCATCCTTAATTTAGCCAAACTTTTAGACTCTCTTCAAGTACCATCAGCTCGTGCCTCAATCATTTGGGTCATTGGTGAATATAGCAGTCGTATTCCATTAGTTGCCCCTGATGTTCTTAGAAAATTAGCAAAGAGTTTTTCAGATGAACATGAAAGTGTCAAATTAGAAATTTTAAATTTAGGTGCAAAATTATATATTCTATTCAGTAATCCACCAACTGAAAACGAAACCGAAAACCAAATACCAACTCCAACCGTTGGAAAAAATCAACCACAGATCCATATTGCCGACAGAGAAAAGGTTAAAGAAAAAGTAAACTTAATCTTTCAATATATTTTAAATTTAGCAAAATATGACCAAAACTATGACATTAGAGACAACAGCAGAATTATGAAACACTTTTTCTACAACACTGAAAACACTCCATTACTTTCAGAAAACATTAAAACTCTAATGATAAACGAAAAACCAATCCCAACCGAAACAAGTATTAGCGAAGATAGACAACGTTTCACTTTAGGTTCACTCTCACACATTGTTAATCATACAGCTTTAGGTTATGTTGCACTTTCAGATTTCCCTGAAGTTCCACCAGACCCATCAGTCAGAGAACCAATTCAAAGATGGCAAACTCCTTCCGCCATCGACAAAAGAACTGAATCAATTTTCGTTGAAGCTCCATTCTATTCAGATGAAGAAGAGGAAGATGACGAAGAAGACGAAGATGACGAAGAAGACGAAGATGACGAAGAATATGATGACGAAGATGACTACGATCAATTCTTTGGTGAAGGTAAAAAACAAAATGGTAAATTTAACGAGGATGATTACGATCAAGATATTGAAGATGGTGAAGATGCCAATCAAGATGATGACGATTTCGATGAATTATTTGGTATTTCAAATAAAAATGATACTGTAGACGACTTATCAAATGAAATGGAAAAATTAGAAATTGATGAACCAATTAGCTCAACATCAATCAAAAAGATTTTATTAAAACCAACTATTAGCGGAGGTTTAGGTATTGAATATTGTTTTGTTAGATCAAGAATCATGGAAGATGGCAGTCAAGTTGAACCACATTTCAATCTTATTCAATTATCAATTATCAATCAATCTGATGAAACTTTATCTGACATCTGTATCAACAGCACCAATATAACCGATGGTGCACAAATAAAAGAATTTGATCAAATAGATTCGCTAGAACCAAAAGATATCATTCAAAAACAAATTTGTGTATTATTTAATTCAACATCACAATCATGTAAATTTGAAATTTGGTAAGTATTAATATCTATTTATTTATTTTTTATGCATATATTTTTTTTAAAAAAATTTTGGTGTGTTTTATTTTATTTTTTTAATTTTGTGGAGATCTCAATTTTTTTATAGCACACATATATCTACCACATCTTTTTTTTTTTTTTAAAAAATATCTTGTGTTGATTTAGTTTATAACATATGTAAATATTATTTTTTTTTATTTTTTATTTTTTTTTTGTATTTTGACAACTATTCTTTCAAAAAATAACTATAGTTATTTTTTGAAAGATATTAGTTTTATTTCTCATAACAACATTGTAAAAAAAAAAAGTACAAAAAAAAATATCACTGTTGTTTGTGTTTTCGTATTCGGTTTTTTTTTTTTTCTCAGTTTCCCAAGCTTTTTTTTTTTTTTTTTTTTTTTTTTTAAATCACCACATCAATCGTAATGCGTTAATACCCCATTAATACTTTTTAAAATTTCATTTAAAAAAAAAAAAAAATGGATTTTTATATTTTTCACACACACAAACAAAAATATCAATTTTTTTATATTTATAAAAAAAGTGCAAAAATATCATCAATTTTTTTTTTTTTTTTTTTGTTGCTCAACTATTGTTGGGGCATAAAAATTTTTTGGGTTCAAAGAAAAAAAAAATTAAAAAATACCCAAATTAACAATACACAAAACCTCCTTACTAAATTTCTATTGGTTGTTGCATGTTTTCTTTTTTAAGATCATTTTGTTTTACTTTTTTTTTAAAATAAATTTTTTTTTCCCCATATGCAATTTATTAAATTTTTAAACAAAAAAATCTTTTATTAACTTTTTTTTTTTTATGTAAAATCAAAACCATTTTGATTTTAAAATAAAGTTTTAACAAAGGTAATTTCCCAGTAACATTATCACCAATTATTGGCGAATTGATTACCCCTGCACAATTTGAACAACAAGATAGTGAAGAGGTAGTAGATTGTGTTGAATTATGGAAAAAAGAATTTGAAGAATTAGGTGATCTCCATCAAGCAGATGATCAATTTGAATTGGGCGAGCAATGTTTAGAAAAATTAAGTGTTGCTGAAAGGGGTGTTGGTTTAAAACCAGTTATTCAATCAATTTTAGACAGTGTAAATATTTCACCCATAGCTTCAAATAAATCAAATACAATTGTCCATTTAGCAGGTAGAACCTTATTAAAGAATGAAAATATATTTGTCTTATTAGAAAAGAAAAATCAAAATCATATCAAATGTACGGTTAGAAGCAAGGATATCAGTGTTGCTGCAATGTTATTAAAAAAATTATCTGATATTTTACAAAAATAATAACACAACCCATATATAAAAATACAATAATAGTTTTATTTCAATTTTTTAAAATTTAAAAAAATACAGCACACCTATTCATAAAAAAAACTCAGAACTCACTGCACTTTTTTTTTATTATTATAAAATATAAAAAAAAAAAAAAAAAGGAAATTTAAAAAATAATCATACAATTAAACTCATAATAAAAAAAAAAAAAATTTCGAATTTTTAAAAAATAAAATAAAAAATAAAACTCTTTTTTTTTTAAAACTCTTTATTTTTTAAAATTTTTGGATATGTGACATGGGTAATTTCGTTTTTTTTTCGTTTTTTTTAAATTATTTTAAAAAAAAAAAAAAAAAAAAAAACTGTAATGTCTTTTTTGGTGTTTTTATTTATTTTATATGGAAGATGTTGTCACTTTATTCACCACCTCAATGATTATATTTGAAAGAAAAAAAATAAAAAAATAATTGATATTTATTGTGAAAAATAATAATTAATTTGGAGCCCCTATAAATCTTTATTATACATTGATGATGGTTTTTTTTTTTTTTTTTTTGCTTTTTTTCTTTTATCAATAAATTAAAATTGTATACGCTCTTTTATATTTCAAAAAATAAAGAGGGTGCAATCACTATCGATTTCAATTTTAAAAAATTTAAAAAAAAAAAAAAAAATATTAATATAAAATTTTTTCTTGTTTCCCCTGCAAAAAAAAAAAAAAAAAAAAAAAGAAAAAAAAACCCCTCCCCCCCCCAATTTTTTTTTAAAATTTAAAAAAAAAAAAATTGGGTGGGGTTAAAAATGCCCTAATGGGGGGGGAAACATTTTTTTTTTATCCGGAGTTTTCCCAACACAAAAAATTTGTGGGAGAAAAAAAACAAAAAATTTTAAAAAAACTTTTTTTTTTTTTTTTTTTTTTTTTTCCACATTTCCCCCCCACACCGGTTTTTCTTTTTTGGGGAAAACAAATTTGGGGGGGGGGGAATTTTTTTTTTTTAGGGGGGGGGGGGGGCCCAAAAGAGGTATAAAAAGGGGGTTTTTGCGGGAAAAAAAATTTAAAAAAAAAAAAAAGGGGATTTTCCCCCCCCCCCAATATTGTTTTTTTTGTCCCACCCCAAACAAAAAAAATTTTCTTTTTTTTTTGTTTAAAAAAAAAAA